TGAGCATTACCACCATCACCAATGCTAAAATAATCAATTTCCTGGATATAACATTTGACCTATCTAATAGGGTTCACAAACTATATACTAAAGATTTATACAACCATAGATACATCAACAAACAATCCAGCTACCATCCTAGAATACTGAATAATTTACATGTCGGTCCACTTTAGACTGTCTACCAACTCTAGCAATAAGGACATTTTTGACAAAAATAAAGGCAAATATGTAGACGCACCATAAAATTAACCTCAAATTCTTAGCCAATAACAATAATAATGCCAGCAGACAAAAACATTGTAAACATAATATTATATGGTTTAACCTGCCCTTCAACAAAGATGTCAAAACTTATATTGGAAAAATTTTTTGAATTTAATTCAGTCATTCCCCAACACTAAATAAGATCTTCAACAAAAATGATGACAAAGTTAGCTACAGCGACCAATATATTGCACATCACAACTCTTCCATGCTAAACAAACATTCAACAACCTGCAAAACAACAACATCCCCGCAACTAATAATTATAACTGCAAAAAAAAACAAACCCTGCCCATTAAACAGCAAATGTATGTCTAAATTGTTAGTTTATAAAGTTCAAATCATATATGACAATGAGGTCACGTTTTATATGGGCTCTACAGAAAAGCATTGGAAATCACACTTCTACCACCACTAAATGACATTAGTCAATATCATATATAGTAACAGCACTGCTCTCTCTAAATTTTTCTGGAAACTAAGAAGCAAGAATAAAAAACAAATTATCACCTGGGAATCAGTAATGAAACCTAAAACTTTCAGTGGTAAAGGCAACAGATGTAATCTATGTCTTTCTGAAAAATTGAAAATCCTGAAAAATATAAACAATCCTAATCTCTTAAACAAAAGAAGTGAGTTAATCAGCACCTGCCTACATAGATCCAAATTTCTACTCACACACATTGACCCTGCTTAATATAGTCTAGCCGGACCCAGGTACCACATATACTAGTATAATATTATTTATTTTTATTAATATTTTTACTTTTTGCTACCTTTACTATACAACTGTTGTTAATATTAGGTTCAAGCACATTTAACTTTTTTGCTAATCTTTAATTTCCATTATCTTCTCATTACCATTGTTTTATATATAACCATTATTATTATTCTTGTTTTGTCTTTTTGTCTTAACTTTAGTTTTACTATTAGTAACATGCTTATTTATTTGCTTATTTTTATTTTCATTTATTATTTTTATTTATTTATTGATTTATCTATTTGCACTATTTATTTACATATTTATATCTTCTTATTTATATGGCTTTTATTTTATTTATTCTATTTACATTGATATGTATTATTTTTATTAGTACTTTAATTTTTTTTTCTATGCATACTTTATTAATATTGATATCACTTGATTTCCAAACATTTTTTTCTTATTTGGTCCTTTTGATAACAACAGTGTCTCTTCAAATTAAAATTTGTAATTTTTATTTCCAACCTCATTTTTAATCTTAAATGTTAATCTGGGCCTAAATTCAAATCCAAAATTAAACTACAATTCATTTAAATATTTTAATAATAACCCACCCCAACAATAAAATACCTCATGATAAACAGAAATATTTAAAAAAAAAAAAAAAGGGTGTCAATCAAAAGAATTGCGCCTGATGAATGCAGAAGGTATGAGAAATGTCTAAAATGCCAGCCTACCTCACAACCCAGATTTCAACCACAAGGTCTCCTCAGGCAAGTAGAAACTAATATATATATATATATATATATATATATATATATATGCTAGCCAAGGTACTTGACATTGTGTGGGTGTACATGGTTGCAATTTTATAACCACACCCATCTGTCTAGAAATGTCTGCCTGCATCCCTGCTTACATGCATCATCTTATTTACTTTATGTTCTTTGCAAGTGTTTGTTTCTTTACTTTCCTCTTTCATTTTCTTTTTATTGATTTCTTATTTTCTTCCTATTTTTACTTTAATTTGCTTTTTTCTTTCTTTTCCTTTTATGGAAAGAATAAAATAAAAATTTTATATATTTGTTTTTTTGCCTTCTATGGAAATTTTCAAAAGTGTAAAAAGAAGTGATGTTTCTGAAATTGTTCTTTCAAATAAAATCATTTATTACTGCCATCATTTACCACCTGATGAGATGCCTTTAGACATCGAAACAAATATGCATTTTTGTTGTGGTAACTTGCATTTTTCAATGCAACAGTTTATAATAAATATTTATTGCTCTACTCTTGTATTGAGCCTTTTTTAAATTAATGTTATGAACGTTTGAACATATGTTCTTTTCGTTCTTTTACATTTGGATATATATATATATATATATATATATATATATATATATATATATAGACTTATATTTTTTGATATTTTATTTATGTAACAGAATGAAAATATATACACACACACACACACACGGTGTATCAAAAATACTTTTACAAACATTGGGCATGGGCTCCTCACACCAAAACAAGAACAAAAGTCCATATAAACATATGTCTGCAAATCCTTCAATTTTGAGTTATTAGGTTTAAAGAATGTTTATGGTACATGGAGCTGTATTTTTATGTAGACAAGGTTACATTTGCCACTCATGTACATCTGTGGCTAGTCTGTCTTCAACATTTAACGTGTGTAGTAGTGAGTTAACTGAGAAGTGTTCCATTTAACAATGGCAAGATATTCATATTGTGAGCAGGCAAATATGATTTTTACATACGGCCGCAGAAATGGTAATAGACATGAGGCTGCACAGCCGTATCAGATTGTATTTCCAAACCGAAAGCAGCTGAATCATCCAACCTTTGCTGCTGTTTATTGTTGTGTTGCTGAGACTGGATCCATGACTACAAACTGTGAATTGAGGAAAACTGGGATCCGCTCATACATTTGAACATGAAGAATATATTCCATGTGCTGTTGGAGAAAATCCCAATATCAGCACAAATCAAGTAGCCTGAGCATGTCATACATCTCACAGTACCACATGCAGGGTACTTCAAGAGCAGCTCCTGTATCTGTATCATTTTCAACTTGTGTGGGGTCTTTTGCCTTCTGACCACTTATCATGGGAGAACTTTGGCTGATGGTTTATTGCTCAATATGCTGATCCGTTTTTTGTCTCTTCAGTCTTGTTTATGGATGAGGCAACATTTGGAAGAGATGGAATAACAAATTTACACAACCAACATTTGTGGGCAATTCATGGTACAATACAGGTAGAAACCAGCATCAGTTTCTGATTCATATGTGGGCTGGAATTGTTTTGTCCTTGTTTTGATGTGAGGAATACATCCCCAAGATTGTAAATGTACTTTGAAACACCCTGTGTTTGTTTGTGTGTGTGTGTGTATATATATATATATATATATATATATATATATATATATATATATATATATATTGACTCTGTTATAACATATAAAAATAAAAAAATATGTGTATGTATGCATATATATATGTGTGTATATATATATATTTACGCATCGCACCATGTATAACTGTCAATATATATTGACTGTTATAGATGGTACAATGAGTAAATTGTCAACATTTTATTTTTTTAATTGTGCATTGTTTTTGATTTTGATTTTGTTGACTGTACAGTATAGTAGTGTCAGTTGGGCACTGTCTGTGAGAAAAGAACACCATGTCACAATTCACTCTGACAGAAATTTGGAAACAGCATGGTGTACTGCTTCACATTCATGCTGGAATCTCCAATAGGAACATTTCAGAGTGTTTGGGTGTTAATCTGAGGACAGCACAGTGGATTTGGAAAGAGTTAGATGAATCTAATGGTGATTACAAAGGGATGGCACCTCTGAAAACTCACTCTGATCATTCTGATAAGAACTTCCAAATTTGTTGGTGAAGGCCAACACAATATAGGCCTCAATACAGAGACCTACATCAAGTGCTTTGAGGAGGTAGGGCTGCCCTGAGTCAAGAGGGTGGCTACTGGAAGACCCCTTGTCTGGCAACTGGACTCTGCACCATATCACACAAGGAGGAGAACCTGGTCTTGGCTGTCAGACAATTCCTGCGACCACATTACCCCTTACATCTGGCCACATAACTCCCCAGACTGCAACCCCCTTGATTATTATGTGTGGGGTACAGTTGTGCAAGAGACTAACAAAATTCCTTGTAACACCAAAGATGAACTGAAAGCAAGGATTATGGTAGACAAGGAGACTGTCCAGAAGAATTGCAGAAGATTCTGACGTCAGCTGGAGACCGTGGTTGAAGCCAATGGCGATTTTATTGAATAAATTTACTCTTTAGTATTTAAAGATATTTTTGTACAATTTTGGTAAATATATCTGTTAAAATGCGATATCAGTGTTATTTTCATTTTTGCACATTTTAGATGACAATTTATCCATCACATCCAATGTGAAGATGAACAAAGGCATAATTTTGCCATTACAGTTGATCCCTCCAAACACCATGATCTTGATAGGATATATCATCCCACTCTTTCTGAATCCTCTGCACTGTCCCCAGATTGATTCCCAAACACTCTGAATGTTCGTATTGGAGCTTCCAGTGCAAATGCCAAGCTGTACAGCATGCTGTTTCCAAATTTTTGTTTGAGTTAATTGCATCATGGTGTTCTTTTTCTCACAGACAGTACCAAACCAACCCTACTATACTATGCAGTCAACAAAAACAATGCTCATGTTTAAAATTAAAAATAGAAAATGGCAACAATTTACCCATTGCACCAAGTGTGTGTGTGTGTGTGCATATATATATATATATATATATATATATATATATATATATATATGAGTGGGTGTTAAAATATTTTCAATCTGACTAACAAGGATTAAATAAATTTGGTTTGTTCATTCAGTCAGATTTTGGGAAAGTAGATTGGGTCAACAATTTTTTCAGGATCCCCTTATATATTACAAGTAAAAAAATTTGAATAAATGAGAGATAATTGTTTAAATATTTTATTTACAGACCAGATGTAGATAATGACCTGAAAAGTTTAATTCTTCGGATGTTGGATAAAAATCCAGAAACACGGATTTCACTTCCAGAAATAAAAGTAAGACCTACATTTATTCTTTGGAAATTCTTACACTCACTAAACATTAATTCAAGACATCTGAGGATATCTGAATATTATGATGTATCAAAAGTATGTTCATTTTTTTGTAATCACCTCTATTTTTTATATAATCCTAAGTGTATTAATTTATTGTCATTGGATATATTCTTAACATCATACACTAAGTCTATGAGATTGTGCTAATGGCAGACCCAGAATGAAAACTGAAAGAACTATAAGACAACATTGTTGAGGAGAGCAGGAAAAAAAAAGGATAACCATTACTTACAAGATGATAGAATGTACTGTCGTGTGAAAAAGGGACAACCCAAAATGTGAGTTACACACCAGGGATATCAAAATAAAAAAAAGAGAGAATTTCAAGTGTAATAACAAGGTGATGAAAAGTATGAAACAGAAATTTACAGACACATTCTTATGATGAAAGATACTTTTCAGAAACTAGGTAATGTAATAAGGGATAAAAAAAATGACAGTAGAAACAAAGGATAAATGCTATCCTCCAACATAACATTGAAAGTAGGAAAAAAACTTGAGACAACTGATATATTTTACCAAAAAATGTTAAGCATACTATGGACCAAAAATACAACAAATATGGACATTCTAAGGAGAATAGGAACTACAAAGAAACAATCCAATAAGCCATTGGAAAGAGATACTGAAATTTTGTGAACACATCATGAAGAAAGAAAGCTTGGAAAATTTAGCACTTAGAAGATACTTGAAGGTAAAAGTAGAGGAAAAAAGCAGTGAGTAACCTATTTGACAAGTTTGTGTAAATGATTAGAGGAACAAGTACCAAAAAGGAAAAAAAATATTGTTATGGGTAACAAAAGAAAGGTAGCTGTGAAGAATCATAATCATTCATATCTTAATGGAATATGGCATATATAGACAGAGGGAGAAAAAGATTATTTTTTGCCTATGTTATCTTTTAATGATCTTAATGTTTTGAAAACCATCAAATGTCAATGGTCAAGTTTTCCTTTAAGTTTTGCATGCTCTGCCTTCTCCTTAAACAGCATATATTGATGGAGAAAATTTAAGTTTAAGAATTGTTCATATACTTGAATTTTTGCCAGTTTATCAGGCAAACATGAATTTCAGCAGAGTTAAAATTAAATTGTAGCAAAAGTAGTAATGATAATGTGTGTGATTTTGATGATCAGGCACAATCTGATACATGCTAACCAACTCTGTGTGACCACTCAAAATTTGTTTTCATTATGTCAATTTGGACTAATAGCATAATTTATATAGTGTTTATCACAGTAATAAAATTCCATTTCTTAATCATTTCTAGAGCCAACAGCTTTTGTTATCTGTAGTAAACTCCTCAGACAGGAACATAGAAGTAATATTCTGAGATTGGTTTCTCTTATTCCAGACTCTTGATAAATCTCCTAAATCTATTCAGTGCCAATATTTGTATAATTCATTTCCTGCTGACCTGAAGCATCAGTAACACATCTACTTTATCAGTAACATGCTTTGAAACTTCACCATTCATTAATCATTCAGATCACAGGTTTTCATTGATTTTGGAGCAGCTTCAATAAACCTATAAGTATCTGGCTATCCAACATCCATAATTCCAAAATCAATCAGCATATATTGATTCTTGATTTAAGACAAAGCATTTGAGTAAACAGAAGTCACAAAAACTCAGGTCCTTTCACATTATCTATCATTTCCTTCTGGTTTGTGTGGATTAGAGAGTCAAAACCATTGTCTGTTTAAAAAGCTGAAAACATTTCTTTGCATTGATCCAAACATTAAGTAGTTTTGTAATCTTTAAAATGTATTCATTCTTCTGTATTTTAATAAGAAAAGCAGCTTCAGTAATCATATTACTCAGAATGGTCAACTCATAAGACCTTAAAATAAACCATCTTGTACAAAGGCAATTTCAGATTGAGTCAATCTCTATCTATAAAAGGCAGGATGTGTGTCTGTGTGTGTGTAACAAATGCACGGCTGCAATTTTCGACAGATTTGCACCAAAATTTACATGCACATGCTCCAAATTAGCGGGAAGGCCAAGATCAACTTTGCATTTCCCAACTCCCATCGATAGTGGAAATAATTGATTTTTTTATGCTTCTACGGCAGTTTTTCATGTAGTTTGATTCTGATTCCGCAGAACTGGGTTGGGTGTGAAAAAGTATTTGTTGTTAACATTCTTTTTTCATTCAGTTTTTCCAGTTATGAGTCCTTTTTTAAAGCTGATCGTTTTGTGTTCATTTTGTTTAGTTCTTTTTTCATAACAGATTTAATGTTTAGTATAGAGCTTAGAAAAAATTTGCAGTGTGAGATAGGCAAGAAGTAAGGCATATAGCAACATCAGCACGGCAAAAGGCACTCCTTTAAAGGCAAGAGCAAAAATATTTTAAGTCAAGTGATAGCGATTACTGTATGAGTCATACGATTTTTGAATCAAGCACAGGCAACACCGGGCCATGCTGCTAGTGTCCTATTAAATGCAAGTGGCTCATGTATATAGATGTTCCATATCTCAATGAATAAAACTTTATCTGGAAAATTTTTGGAATTTTCTTCTGTCTTTTTAGTGGAATCACAAAACTGCTAAAACATTATAACACTGAGATTTTTTTATACTTAACTTTCTTATGAATCTTTTTTCAAATATTTTCTTTTTTTATGAGAATCTGTTAAAAAGAATCCGCTTTCAAATATATTTGTTGTAGATATCCTATGATGTATAAACCTTTTGTTGATAATCATCAATAATAAATAAAAATTCTTTTGGAAGTTCAGTTCATTTTTAACTGAAAACCAATTGCTGCAAATGATGTTATCAATATTTACAAGTCTTTTTCAACCAAGAATTGATAACGTGCTATCCCTCCTCTCTCTTTCTCTCTCTCTCTCATATATATATATATATATATATATATATATATATATATATATATATGATGGTTATGACTCAATTTCACTATTTGGTCCATCTTTATATATGTTCAGTGTGGATATGGTTTTTTAGTTTTGTGACAATTTTAGATGTCTTTTTCTGTAGTTGTTACATAAATGCCACATAACATGTTATAAGTGACTTCCCTCTGTGTCTTATGATTTTTTTAAAAGAGTTGCCCTACTTCAACAGATGTGACCATATTCATTATACATTAGATCAAATTTTGTTGCAACATTTGCCAGGAAATTAAAATCAAGACCCTTAATATCATCTCTTGAGTTTTTCATGTACAACATGATTCTGTTCATATACTTAAATAGATATATATTCACACACAGTATATTAGTGATATAAATGTATAATGTAGTGATAAAAAAATAATATGAAGAGTGAACCTCTACTGAAAATGGCTTATGACCATATCATGTTGAAACATTGATCACCAAATTTAAGCAGCATTGAGCCTGGTCAGTACCTAGATGGGTGACTGCTTGGGAATACCAGGTACTGTCAGCTTGGATGTGCAGGTGGCATAATAGATAATGGCTCAGTATTGTTAATCAGAGAGCCAAGTTCCAATTCCAGTTGGGTTCATTATATTCATTTAAGCACATATACCCTTGGAAGCGATATGAATCCGATTCTTCTTCCTACAACTATGAGTTACTTAGTAAGACTTGTGTCACTAAATCCTTATTATCTCCAAAAATATTCTTACAATTTAAAAAAAATCCTGGCTTTAAATAACCTACAAAGGGTCAATAAGCCATGGAAAACAAGCAAATCAATCAAATCTAGTGAAAAAAATCACATAAAAATAAAGTTAACATCATAGTGATTAATTCTGTCAGAAAAGTGATTGATGTAATTAAATATTCATAGTAACTAAATCAATTTTATTTTTAATGTTTAATGATGTTGATGCTTTTGTGGTAGTATTACAGGTTTTACAAGGATGAAACTGAATTTTTTGGTGAGAATTTTTTATTTTGGTTTAAGCTATTAACTCAGGCAGACCTCATGATTCCATGTTCTTCAGTCATGGCTTTAATGCCTAAGCTACACCTGCAGGTGTAATGTTGTGTTACAAACAATTATCAGATCTTAACAGATTAAGTGCATACCATAAACCTTCTTATTTTTTTTTTTTTTTTTTGCTTAAACATGTTCCACTTTGACCATCTTGGACAGATGTAAATGTAATGCTTGTCTACTAAATGTTTCTTTTGGCTTAATGTAAAAGACAGAGATATTCCATGTTTACAAGTTGAATAGATACAATGAGTAGCTGTTATTTCTGTCTGCAAATGCTCCATTTGCAACTGGACAGTGAGAAAAAAAGCTCCTTTGTAAGAATATGAGATGCATTAACTTAGACAAGCAAAGAGAGATTGATACTGGCTTTGGTTTCAATATGCTTGTCAATAACACTGAAAGGTGACAAATAGATATTAAATCAGGATATATCTGGAACAGTTCTTTTAACAAGCAGTCTATTTTTATTCATCTATCTATCTATCTATCTATCTATATATATATATATATATGTGTGTTTGAATCTTAAGTAATTTCCATTTTTTGAAACCAATTGTAATGATAAATGTATCAACATAACTTCTAATCATACATCGCAGTTAAGAATAAATTTGGCATACATTAACATATCTTAGTTTATGTCCAGCAGTGACAGCATACACAGTGGATTAAAGGAAAAATGTTGTTCTCCTTCCTGGCAGTACAAGGCCACAAGAATAACTCAGGAAATAAATTTTAAAACTGTTAGTCTTTTGTACGCTATTCACCAGACATTGCACAAACCAATTATTACCTTTTTCAATTGCTGCAAAACACCAGATTTTATTGGTTTACCAATACAGTATGGGAATGCCAGATTCATAAAATGCTGCTTTGTTATAGATTTCTTGTGTTCCCAGTATTCTTATATATATATATATATATATATATATATATATATATATATATAAGAATGTCAGTGTGTCACACTTTTTCAACTTTACTCCTAGAGGCCATAGCTCAACATATGATACCATTTTGGAATCAGGCTAACTCTGTGTGCAAATTAAAAACATTCTGGGTCAGATGTGGACCTCCAATCCTGAAATTTTGGATCCCCACGTTTTCATTACTGTGATTGTTTTACATGATTTTTCATGACAAGCTTGTTTGTACAATAACAATTTTTTATAACTTGGAAATAAATTTGGGAATAAGTGAAATTAATTGTGACATCTAGTGAAAGTAAAGTAAGCTTAAATATTAATGCAATACGTAAATAGAATGATCAATTTTGAGTTCTTCTGTAGTTTATTATTGCCTATCATATTTGGTTGCAGTATGCCTCGCAAAAAGAAATCTCTGCCAACAGAGAACTAGATTTCAATAAAAAGAGTCGAGGCTGCATTGAGAAAAAGAAAGTCCTACGCAAATGAAAACCCAGATCTAATGGCAGTCAGGAGAGCTTCCAATGTTGAGAATATGCAAAGATTTTGGGACTCTCAAACTCCTGAACAAGCCAAAGGCCCAATCGAGATCCCTGCACAGGGACTAACTAACAATATATATATTAAGCTAGTTTTACATATATATATATATATATATATATACACAACAGAGTTGGCTGGAAAGTTCATAAGCTAACCAAGATATAAATGTAAATAGACACGACAGTTGATAGACAAAAAGACAAGTGTACCAGAATACAACAACTGACCAGCCAACTGTATATATATATATATATATATATATATATATATATACTAATAGTAGAGCCAAGTTGCCTGGGGATATAACAGTAAGAGATAGATCAAGTATCCACCATTATAAAGACTGAAAAATAAAATTGACAAAGATTATTGTTTAAGGTTGAAGGACATGAATGTCTTAATTAGTTTTTTTTTTGTTTTTTTTTTTACGAAATGGTCAAACTCAAACAAAAACATTGTTTTCAATCGTTATGAGTCTACTGATTGAATAGAATTTTAATATAAACAATTGTCTTGTAAATGGAATTTTTAAAGCATTCTGAATGTAAAAAATAAAGAAAAAAAAGTGTGCAAGACAATAAGAAACACTACCTGCCAAAAAAAAAAATGTGAAGTTTTGTTGAAATCGGTTTGAAAAATGTAGGTAGCCTTTCTGTAATCTTTTAGTTTTTACAATTTATGATTTTACTTATTGAATACAGTAAAAAAAATTGCATATTTTGCTTGTGGTGATTCATAATTAGAATTCTGATTTGAATATATTTTTCACTCATTGTTTCTAATACAAAAAAATATTAACTTTATTTGGGTTTATTAATTATGATCTAACAAATCTTATTCATTTAGTAGCCTTCTCTGTAATATATAATAATCTTTTTACAATTTATGATTTTTTACTTATTGAATACAGTAAAAAATTGGACACCATGTGTATTTAAAGTAGTTTCCCGTTCAGTTATTATTTTTTAGTTAGGACTTGTGTATGTTTAGATTTCATTATCTTTCCCTAAAGATAAAGAATTTATCTGATGTTTGTATTCGTACAATCAGTAGAGATCGTTAGATTATTGTTTAAGGTTGACGGACACGGATGTCTTAATTAGTTTTTTTTGTTTTTTTTTTTTTTTACGAATTGGTCAAACTCAAACGAAAACATTGTTTTCAATCGTTATGAGTCTGCTGAATGAATAGAATTTTATTATAAATAATTGTCTTGTAAATGGAATTTTTAAAAGCATTCTGAATGTTAAAAATAAAGAAAAAAGTGCAAGAATAAGAAACACTACCTGCCAAAAAAAAAAAAAAAAAAGTGAAGTTTTGTTTTATCGGATGAAAAATATAGAAATCCATCCCCATATTTAAAGGAACCCACACACACAAACAACCCGATGTGAGTTGTCCCCCTTCCATTTTCACGATGTCTCTAATCGTGTTTTTCAAATTGATTTTGTGCAAAAACAATTATATTTTTCCCATTTTTGGCACTGTTAGAACCACCACAAGGTAATTTTTATGTAGTCCTGTGAAGTTTTGTTGAAATCGGTTGAAAAATGTAGAAATCCGATCCAATATATAAACATTACAGACACACACACACACACAACACAATCTGCATTTTATAATAAGTAAGATATATATATATATATATATATATATATATATATATATATATATATATATATATATATATATATTTTTATATTATATTATGTAACAGAATATATATATATATATATATATATATTCTGTTACATAATATAATATCAAAATATAAGTCAAAATAAATATATATATATATATATATATATATATATATATATATCATTCACAGACAGTACTGTTTCACTGTATCACAGCTCCTCAGTACAACAAGACGTCCAAATGCCTCAAGCCAGGACCGAAACCTGACCAATTTGGTGTAGGTCAGAGTTTCTACCAGTAAGCCATCATCACTCGGCAGAGAGAAACAGCTAATTCAAGCATATTGTTTTTGTGAAAATATATATATATATATATATATATATATGCACACATACATACATATATATTATTTAAAATTTACTAAAAATGAGAGTGAGAGAAAAGTGTTCACCATTAGAAATAGAACATTTGTACATATCAACAACAGTAATCGATGCCAATATATGGTAACTGTCATGTCTCAAGTGTTCTTCAGACCAAATCTGATTTGAAGATCATCAGAATTGTGAAACTATCATATATAAATGAAAAGTGTCACTACTGACACCTGAGTTTGAAGATGAATCTCTGGACAATGAAAATGTAGGCCGCCATTTACTATAAATAGAGATATCATCATCCCTGAGTCGGGTGGGTGTTACAATTACGTGTTTGGCTATTTTGTTAACTCGGACATTAAAGTTGAATGTCCCACGTTTCAAGATGAATTAGTAATTTTCTTAGCAGTTCTACACAGTCATGTATTAACTAATAAGTTATCAATAATCTTTCCATTGACTTCTTACTTCTTTTTTGTTAATGTAATTTAATTGTGTTTCGTAAATAAATACTTTATTATTTTACATTGATGTCTTTCTGTTATTAGTTGCATTATGTACATGTGGCAGATCCAGATCACAAAAGAAACTGACAATCACCATTCAATGTTGATTTCTATTTCCACACTCTCTGTACTGTATATATATATATATATATATATATATGAAAGAAGGTACAGTGAAAGTAGTGGGTAGTAGCTCAAACATAGGGCTCAGAGAGCTGAGTTTGAATTCCAGTCAAATCAATTACATTCACTTATGTGCTAATACCCTTGGAAAAGGTATCAATCCTCTTCTTCTCCCTCCAGCTATGGGTAATTAACAAGACAGACTGGGTTTTATAGCCTTGGATGGCAACTGGTCAGAACATCTCTGAATTCAAAACCTGCGAAAGTTTGTTTGGGGACCTTGTGGCATATAGTGCACCAAGTTTCTGTATTCAGCCCTTCAAAAAGTGTGGTTGGTTCTACACAAAGCCTTCACCACTATAATCAAATCATATGTGCTGGTGTCTGGCTGTCGGTTCCTAGGAACTGAGTTGCTGACCCTCATACGTTGAATACAACAGAAGAGTCCACCATATATATGAATAAAGACAAAAGGAAAACTTATTTTAGCCAACGTGTTTTGTCTTCTGAGGAACTTTATTAAGACAAATGTAAGGATTTTATTTTGTGACAAGTATTTATATACAAGAAAAAAAATGTTATTGGTTTTTCAAAATTTTAGGTATAGCAATACTTATGAATACATTTGCATTTACACACCTTTCAAGAATTGGATCTGAGGCTACATGATCTGAGAGCCATCATAGATAAATAGTTTTACATCTCCATTATCAATTCAAGATATTGAAGAAGATATTTCAAAACCTTAGCCTAACACTTTATTCTCTAAATTTTATCACTTAGTTCAATATCAAGCTTTTTAAGAACATTTGACCTGCTGACATTCATTGGCTTTTTAGTCCTTAAGTTCATTACATCTAATGAAAAAAATAATGAAATTAGACTAATACTCTAAACGGTTTTTATGTTCTTCTTTCAGGTCCATCCATGGGTGACGAAGGATGGTACAGAGCCATTGCCTACTGAAGAGGAAAACTGCATTTTGATCACTGTAACTGAAGAGGAAGTGGAGAATGTAGTGAAACATGTGCCACGGCTTGAAACTTTG